GTTTTATTGTCAAAGCGGTTCTAAAGGCTCAAGAGCTTTTACCTTAATGCATTCTGTGCATGAAGGTTAAAAACCACCTGTGTGCAGCTTACCCTCAGTCCCCCCCCCCCCCCACCCCCCGCTAATACTCTCCTGAACCCCCTCTTGATCCAGCCATGTGCTCTGCTATCTCGGGACTCCCTCTCCTCATTGGCTGAGACAGCAGCGTGAGTCATTGGCTCCCACTGCTGTCAATCACAGCCAGTGAGCCAATGAGAAGAGGGGGTGGGGTTGAGTCATGGCTCTGTGTGTGAATGGGTACACAGCGCAGTGGATGCCCCCATAGCAAGCTGCTTGCTGTGGGGTGCCCCTCTGACAGGAGGGAGGAGCCAGCAGCGCCGGTAAGGGTCCCGAGAAGAGGAGGATCCTGGCTGTTCTGTGCAAAACCACTGCACACAGCAGGTAAGTATAACATGTTTAACAAAAAAACAAAGCCTTTAGAATCGCTTTATTTGAACACGCTGATTGGCTACCATGCACAGCTGCATCAGATTTACAAGCATCTAGGCATGTTTAAAAGCGTTAAGCGCTTAAGCGTTAATTCATTTAATTGGCCAGAATAATATATTATTCTAGCCATTGAAATTAGTTAACGCTCAAGCGCTACACACGCCTAGCATTAAAACGTGTTTTAGGTGGGTTTACATGCGTCAGGTTTTTATTTCTGCCAAAATGCTGCTGCTCCTAGACGCACTGGCCCAGGGTTTTTTCTTCTTGCTGGTGAATGCTACTGCTACTAAAATCTAAAAGTCTATATGTGCATGGACACATAGGATAACATGGAGGGCTGTTTGGAAGCAGTAAAAAAAAACAAAAAAAAAAAAAAAACGCCTGATGCCCCTAAAAGTGGCTGCAAAAACACCCTGTGTACATGAGGCCTTCAAGTCGATAAAAACTGTGCAAAGGTTTTTTTTTTTTCTTTCTAAAGCAGCAGAGTAGAAAAGCCTGTCCCCTACCAGCAGCTGCAGACAATGTCACTTGCTCTCTACAGTCGATGAAGTCCATGCTTTCTGCTGTTTGGAGAGCACTGATACTGAAGGGGGACCTCCTAAAAACAGGTCACTGCTTATCCACAGAGTACAAGGGTGCTTCTGCACAGGACTCTCTACTCAGGTTGTGACTGCTTTCTAAAGAAAATGATCTGTAAGACTTTGTATAGCTTGCTTTAATGCATCTGGATCAAATTTAGTGGATTTAAAATTCCAGTTGTGCTTTAAGAATTATGAGGGTTCTTTAAAAAGTTTCCACTCACTGGTTTATATATATATATATATATATATATATATATGTAAACTTTTTGAAAACCCCTCATATTTCCTACAGCAATTTGGGTGTAGTGTTGCATGACCGTGCAATTGTCAGTTAAAGTAACGCCGCGCCGTGTCACAAAAAATTGCCTGGTCAGGAAAGGGGGTTATTCCTCTGGAGGGCAAGTAGTTAAACATCAGAAATAATAAAGTGCTCAATGCTCACATTCCTACAGGAATGTAGTTTATATGAGACATGCTGCGCTTTTGTGAATAGACCTGCAGTCTCCGGGGAAAGGTGATGTGTCCCATGAAGTTGTGGGCGAGGAGGCCAAACTTTTGCCTCGTTTGTATGCCAGAAATAGATATCCGCTCCCTTAAAAAAAAGAAAAGAAAACCCAATATAGGCAAATGAGATGAGGGTGGACAGAGGGAGGATGACAATCGATGGAATTTGTTTGTAAGTGATGTTCCATGGTAAGTCTGCAGGTAGAAAATTGCTGCCATTTCATAATATAAACAGCAAAATTGTATCTGAACGGTAGAGAACTCGGTCTTGGCGTAATATGGTTGTAAACCCTTATATATACCCACTGAAGTGACTGGCCTCAGGTGATACACAAAGATTAAACAAATCCACCTACATTAGTTGTATCTGTTTATCTGCTGCACTCTCTCCTGGATAGCCTTCTAAAGCACACAGATCATAGGCTATTTCTCAGTTCCAGCAGGCAGGGGGTGGGGATCTGACCTTACACATCATAAGAAGAGAGCTTCGTGTAATGTGAGACCTGAGTGGAGGGAAAAGACACGCCGCCCCCTTGATAGTCTCATTGGGAAACATGCGCTGTTGAAGCTGTCATTCACCTTCTGTGTGCTGGAGGGGGTGTCTGTCTCTGGAGATTCTGTGGTGTTGGGATAATCTGAGAGTCTTTACAGAAGGCTCGATTAAAATCTTGAACCTGGCCAGATTTGGCCCAGATGGCTGTATGGTGACCACTGGTGTAGAACACTAGGTCTGTGTTTGAAATTACTGTGTTCCTGGTATTCTAGGAACACCTTCACCCCAGCCATTAGTGTGCTGAAGGTTATTATCATAGCCCATGCTGGGTACAGAAATGGATTATCATTCTGCAGTAACCTCCCAGTGCAGTCACTGACCTCTTATTCCTTGCATTTTCACACGTATTGCATTGTTTTCACCTGACTTTTTTGGGCATCATCTGTCCTGTATTTGTCCACAACCCTCTGGATGAGGCCTCCTTTAAATCTGTAGGTTCACTCCTAAACCCCTATGGGACTGCAAAGGAAAGAAAGTAGGTTAAAAAACAGCTCAGCCATAGGTAAATTCAATTAACCGTCTAATTTTTGCATTGTATCCTGAGTAACATCAGCAGATAAGTGGTTCATTTTTCTTGGTGCTGGTGTTGTCCTGGAGTTGGAGAGTTGGAGTATGTTCAAAGTAAACCTGAGACACCTAGGAAATGCGATTTGCTGATTTCTCTTTTTTGCAGCATGGTCCTTTCTGCTGCACTGAATGATGCAATTGTAATGACATTCTGTTAAGTAGTACTTGGAGCACAGGCCGCTGTTGTGACTAATCTCCCCCAAGGGGGTGGATCCATGACATCCTGGTTTCAGAGGAAGTGTGATAAATTACGAAAGGCGTTATTCAATCTAGAAGACTAGTGACTTCTACTGGAACAAAGCCATTGTACTGGGAGAAATCTCAACGGCAAGTATTGCAGGAAATTGAACAAAAAAGTGGCAACTGCCCCAACCTATTACCAGTCAGTAAGGTGCACGTGGAAAACAAATTCACATTGCTAACAAATACAAATTTGAAAAAATTGACCCTCTCTAAAAATTTACATTGAAAATGAAGGGTTTAGTTTGCACACATTTGCAAATATATGAGTAAGCCGCAGTGCCTATTTTAACCTCCCTGGAGGTATTCCCGAGTGTAGCTTGGGGTAAAGTTTCAGCACCACAAGTGGTAACCCCGAGCTACACTTGGGGGATTACACTGCAGCCTTTCTCCGGGATCCCTCGAGCACTTACCTTGTCCTGCGCTCCCGCGATGTCCCCCCTGCAGTGTCCCCGGCCATCTCCTCTGGCCAATGCCGGCAACTGTCTTCCGGGATCCATTCCCTGCGACGTCGGGACGTACGGGGGATGTAACCGGCAGGAAATTGAAAAATGTCAAAAAGTGACATTCACTAAATATACTAAAATCACATAGTATAACATTACTGTATCAAACCATTTCACATACATTTTGTCCCGAGTGCTTTGTCCTGTGCCCTGCCTGCATTTTTACTGTTCTTTCTGCCTGGAAACTTAGAAACGTCCATGGCGTCCAAAAAGCGTCCCTTTAGGTCAAAAGCGGTTTTAGACCGGCTAGAGAACAGCGATAGTAAATCAGAACCACTTGCAGAATTGAGTGATAATGATTAGTGGGGGAAATTCGTCATCAGACACTGAAAACAATTTAGCGACTTTGCTCAGTGATGTGTGAACTTGGCGCTCTATTTCAAATTTCAGTGTTTTTGGTTTGATTATATTATTGAATTAAATGTATTATATTATTTTTTATGATTATTTATTAAATTATAATTTTTATGATTTCGTGTTTCAAATTTTATCATACCCGGGATGTTTACTAGACTCTTGTTCGGACAGATTTCAGTGAGTTATTCCTAAAAATTACAGGCCTACAATAAAAAAAAACTACATATTTCCATTGAAAAAAAATGTACCACTTTGAGCACAGAAATACTGACATAATCAGACCTCTAGGGAGGTTAAGGCACTTCTATGCACTGCAGTCCTACTTTTCAGTGTCTTCCAAGTTGTAACACATATAGCAGTGGATAGATCAGGGGTGCTCACCCTGTGACCCATGGAGCCCTCTTATGTGGCCCTCCAGCTCAAACTGAATGCAGGAGTTTTGGTGCACTTTCTGAAAGTGCACCACACCTACCAGATAAAAATGGATGTCTGTGGCAAAGTGCAGCTAACCTGAGGGAAAGCCGCAGATGCACCGCGCTGCACGCACTGTTTTGGTAAACCGCAGCGCATCACTTTGAAAGCAGCATTATAGGGTGCTCAGGACAGTAAGAGCTCATTTGCAGTTTGGGGGGGCAGTGAAACTTCATAGTTAACATGTTTTTACTACACCCCCCCAGCCCCCACGCCCTCTCCCAACCACTGGTGTAGTGCCAGGGGTCACAATGGCAACCCTAACCCATACTCCAGGGGGTGTGTGTGGCCTCCCTGTCACATTCTGATTTACACTTGGACAGAAGGGGCATTGGGGGCGGTATATACAGGAACCTATCCATTTTCCTCCTGCAACTGCTGAAAACTACTTCTCCTCTCCATCCCACTGGCATTCAGTGGCTGCAGGAAGAAAATGTTCATTATGCTGTTCAAAATAAAAAATTTGAAATTTGGAACCATTTTATTGTGGCCCACGACCGGTTACCAAATCACTCAAGTGGCCATTGCTCTTCAAAAGGTTAAGCACTCCTGGGATATATTAACTACTTCTGGACCCGCCGTTCTATATAAACGTCCGGACGGTGGCAGTGCAGGGTCGGGTTGCCGTTTATAAACGACCTCCTTGCCCCCTGCTTGTGTGCGCTTCCTGGGAGCGCGCAGCACCGCGATCCGGTGCCTGCTGTGTCCTCCAGACACAGTGGAACGTCGAACGTCGTACGGGACCTCTGTACGAGGTCCCGATCATGTGATCACTGATTGGCCAATCAGTGATCACATGCAAAGTAGTAATCAAGATGGCACTTGTGACATTGCTTACTATGTGTGAAATCTGTGAATGATCACAGAGGTCACATGGTACAAGGCTATTCACAACAACCTTGTACCATGTGACAAGCTGTGACCAATCACAGCTCACTCAGTATTTCTCAATGACTGCAAGAATGCAGCCAGAGAGGAGGAGAAATGATTGCTTTTACATCCTATATGGGTGTTAAAGCAATCAGTGTAAAAAGAAAAAAAAAAAAAAAAAATCTTCATCACCCCCCACAAGTAGTGCAGTGTCACCATGGTGACACTGTACTGCTAGGGTGACAGTATGTAAAAAAAATAAAAATAAAAAATAAAATAAAAAAATAAAATAAAAATGTTTAAAAATTATAATGTTTGGTTATAAACTAATTTGGATTTTTTTTTTACTAAATAGATAACAATAAATTTTGACCAAGATTTATGATGAAATATTATTTATTTGCAAAATTTAAAAAAAAAAAACACTTTTTTTCAAAATTTTTGGACTTTTTCATTTACATAGCAAAAAAAATAAAAATCCCGGCGGTGAATAAATACCCCCAAAATAAAGCTTGATCTGTCTCAAAACAATGGTAAAAAATTATTATGGGTACAGTGTTACATGACTGCGCAATTGTCATTCAAAGTGTGATAGCGCTGAAAGCTGAAAATTGCCCTGGACAGGAAGGGGGTGAAAATGTCCAGACAGGAAGTGGTTAAGGGCAGGTTTGGCTGGAGGGAGCCCAACCCTCCTTTTTAGGGTACAAGGGACACCCAGCAAAAGCACAATGACAGCTAAAGGCATCCAGTGCGCACTCTCATCCAATACAACCAACAACTCAACCTAGAAGACTGGTGACTTCTAGTGGAACAAAACCGTTGCACTGGGGGGAAAGCTTAGTATTGCAGCAGAAGCTGCATATTTTTTTTTAGTTCATTTATTAATTTTGGGCATTTTTCAGTAAGTAATGTGTGAGAACTTTTTTTTTTTTTTTTTTTTTTTTTTGCTTGTTCCAAGTTAGCCGCCCATGAGGTAATGAAGCTGTAATCAGGTTGTCTGCCATGGAGCCATCACCTTTAATACCTAGTCTGTAATGGCATCTCCTATATTTTGTATCCTGACAAGCTCCCTTGAAGCTGTATGAAGATCGGTGATCTGTTGAAATGACAGAGTTCACTGACCCCTTGCCGTCTCTAATAGCCGTTTAGTGCAGCTGTGAAAACTGACCAAGTGTCTCGTACATGCTGACATGCACTGTGAGAATATACTGTGTATCCAGACAGAAGGCCATAATAATTAATGTGCTATGAGGTTTTTTTTTTTATCTTTACAAGTCTCAAGCCAAAATCGGGCATTTAGTTTAAGGCAAACTTGAGCAGCTGATGCGACTTTAATTTGGTGTGACTTGCCTGCATGTATTTTTAAGTGCTCAGAGGGAATTCACATCGTATTATTTGCACCATTGTGCACTGCATAAAATATTCATGGAAGTGTCACTTTTCCATAGGTGGCACTCCAGGGCAGAGCTGAAGACTTTTCAAACTTTGCATTTTGAAAAGTAACAAATCCACGAGGCAAGCTGAGAAAAAAAAAAACAACATATGCTCTGCCTGGGTGCAGGCCTTGGAGCGTGTCCGCTTCAAACCAGCGAGATGTCAATACCTGTAGAACTTTTGACATAAGGAAGATAAGTGTGTATAATGGAATGAAAGCAAAGTCTTGTAAATATTATAGATTGACTGGGCCACCCCTCTGGCTCAACAGCGTTAATGCTTCAGCTGCTGATGGGCTCCATTTATTCCAGTCATGGAATGTTACACAGTGTACTCTTCTTTTTTCCAGATGCGATGTGAATGAGATTTTGAATAAATGGGTTAACTCCTTTGCTTTGTTAACCGCTTTCCTGCTGCCCTATAGCAGATATACTGCTTACAGGGCAGCAGGGGTGCACGTATATATACACGTGATTTCGCATTTCAGGTAGGGGGACGCACGCGAATGCCCTTTCCACGCCGCTATTCGCGGCCCAGTTTGTCAATCACCGGACCCGGCCAGAGATTATTCGCCGGCACCCGGTGATCGCGGAGCATTACCGACGGAGAGAGAGAATTGTAAGTAAACAATACAATTCTATCCCCTGCCAGCTTCTGCACACTGCTTTGCATGGCTCTGCATAGCAGAGCCATGCAAAGCAGTGTGCTTACAGTGAAGTACAGACACAACTTACAGTAAAACAGCACACAGTTAACCCTTTGATCGCCCCACGTTAACCCCTTCCAGCCCAGTGCCATTAGTACAGTTTTAGTACAGTACAGATTTCCAGCGGTCACAGAGTATCACTGACAGGAGAGAGGTCTGTATGTAAACAATACAAATCTCTCCCCTGTCAGCTCCAGCATGCTGCTTTGTATGGCTCTGCATAGCAGATCTATACAAAGCAGCATGCTTACACTGTAAACCACACACAGCACACAGTTAACCCTTTGATTGCACTAGATGTTAACCCCTTCCTGCCCAGTGCCGTTAGTACAGTGTCAGTGTTTTTTTTATTAGCACTGATCACTGTATTGGTGTCACTGGGGATGTCAGTGACACCAAGTCAGTTTGCAGTCCAGCTATAAGTCGCTGATCGCCACCATTACTAGTAAAAAAAAAACCAATCCCTGCATATATACCGCCATTTGTAAACGCTATAACATTCACGCAAACCAATTAATTTACACGTATTGGTATTTTTGTTTTAGCAAAGACATGAAGCAGAATACATTTTGGCCTAAATTTATGACAAACTTTGATTTTTTTTTTTTTTTTTTTTTTTTTTTAATTTTTACTGGACATGTAATAGCAAAAAGTCAAAAAAAATTTTTCTCAAAATTTTTTTTTTTAATAGCCTAAAAAATGAAAAAAAAAATGCACAGGTGATCAAATACCACTGAAAGAAAGCTCTATGCGTGGGAACAAAGTACATACATTTAATTTGGGTGCAGTGTTGCATGACTGCGCAATTGTCAGTTAAAGTAACGCAGCGCCGTAACGCAAAAAATGGTCTGGTCAGGAAAGGGGGTAAATCCTCTGAAGGACAAGTGGTTAAAACAATCGCATCTGTTACACAAAAGCAGGTTTCTTTATCATTGGATAATTACTTGGTGGACATTTTATTAGATGCAACCATCTAGAAACTGATGAGCACCCCCTTTTGCCTTCAGAACATACAGAATTCTTCAGATTGTCCTGTCTAACAATTTGCGTTTAAAAACGGGTTTAGTTAGCACACATTTGCAAATACATGCGCTAGTATTTGCAAATATGTGCTACATAAACCCCTGTTTTTAACGCAAACTGTTAGACAGGACAATTTGGTTTGTTTGCAGGCTGGTTGGTAAGTTGAGCTGGGAATTTGTCTTTTTTATTGTTTGACATGCGTCACCCTTCCATGTGTTCCTTGCTGTGAAGGCCAGTTATGGATTGGGGCAGTGGCCATCTTTTTCGTACTGTTGATTTGCTGGTGAGGGGGTGCAATGGACACCCTGGCTGCCATTGTTCTATATGCTGGGTGTCCAGTGCACCCCTGTACCTTTTTAAGGAGGGGTGGGCTCCCTCTAGCTTACCTGCCTTCAGTCTATCCATTTATACATGTGCTTCTACTATGGAGTCTCTCAGTGATCAGAATTGCCCTGACAAGCTCTCCCCCCAATCTTGCACAGCCATTCACTGGGAAGTGTTAAAAAACCCCCCCCCATCTTTCAGAACAACTGTGAACAGAGGGAATATGGTCACCTTTAAAAAAAAAAAAAAAAAAAAAAAAGGTGGAAAAGGTATTTATAATGTTTTTTTTTATATCTACCTACAAATGTTTTAACCTTCATTTCTATTTTAAACTGAATTGTTTTACAGGGTGAAGGTTTGCTTTTATTTTTAACCACACTCTGTGATCACCTTAAGGCTTTATGAAAATGTACAAATCTGACGATAGCATCATTTATCATTTGTTTTATCATGGTAGCATCATTAAAAGAGAAGTAGGACCAAAGCTCTTTTGGCTATACTTCTCCTATAGGTCACTCAGTTGTGCATTGTGACCTGTTTTCAGCCAACAGTGGGCTAAAGTCCGAAGCCAGCTAACGTCACAGAGCTGGCCCAGACTCTATAAGGATCTCGACCATATTGTCAGGATCTGCCTGGATGCCTGACTGGAAGCTGGCTCAGAGTAAGAGCCTCAGCCAGCCACTCCCACCACCTCCACAGCCCGGCGCTCCAGTGAGCGATGGAGGGGTAGAGCAGAGAGCTGGAGACTGGCACAGAACCAAGAAATCAGCATTGTTTTATTGGTCATTTCTCGGTCTTAGAGGTGGCAGGGGACAGATGCAGACAAATTGCAGTTTGTTGTCAATATAGCATTTTGTCACACATCAGTCTCTGTAATGGTAGGTGTGACGATCCCAGGATCGCTGCCACCAATATGTGACGATCCCACGATTGCTGCCACCAATATGTGACGTACGCGGCGTCAGACCCAGGCCTTCTCACCAAACTCGTGACCGAAGGACTAGCCAATCTAAAACCGCGATGTCACGTGCGTAACAATGCCACATACAGCTGCACCCTGTGCAACGATTTTCCAGCTAATTAGACCACAATCTATGTACCGGCAGCCTGAATGCGATTGTTACTGGGTCAGGTTAATTACGCAATTAACCCTTCACACTGCCACCACCTCCTTTTTGTACAGGGGAGAAAGAGGAAACTGCGATAACCGCTATAACACTATAATGGTTGAGATAATCGTCTGTATAACACGGTCACCGCAGGCCGGTTATACAGAGGAGTAAACAAACACAGTAGCGCTCTTTTAGAGGCAGGAATTCGTAAATTGCAATTAAGAGCTATAGTAACAGTTCAACACTTTCAGAAGGAAAGATTTATTACTAAAAGGTCAAGCGGGTACAATAAAAATATTTACAGAAAAAAGATGTAACTAAGATATATATATAAATATACAGAGAGCAACAGCACAGCAAAGCGATAACAGAAAGAAGTTAGAGGGTTAAAGTACTTGCCAAAGTCCTGGGTTAGCAGATCAAGTTTCAGAGCGAAAGGGCTGTACCTTA